AAGTCAAGGGCTATCTGTAGTTCTAAAACCTACACTTAGATAAAAATGCCTATTGAATATTTCTGATGCATAGCAAAGCGCTACTAACTTTTTTTTTTTGGTGGTGGATATTTCTTGAAGTTTAAGAAATCATCCGTGCAATGCATGCTTCCTTTTTCATAAGCCTCGTATTCAATCAAGCTAACTCCTTAGTAAAGATGTAGGTGATCTTTTGGGGCAGTGGCTTCATTCAGAATTTTGAGAGTCTGTCCTGAGCAATCCCAGAAATCAGATGCAAAAATAAATTTATCTAGTTATCAAGTGGCTATTAGGATGGGTCTGGCAGTCACAAAACACCCATTTGTCAAAAGGTAAAGTCACAAGGTTTATCTTCACCATCCTCTCCCCTCACCCACCCCAGTTCCAGCACATTTCCTACATCTAGATTTATTTTTTTATTCCCTCTGGGCAGGTGGTTATGTGGGTGTATACACACCCACACACACCCACACACATACTGGGCTGCAGCAATCCAACCTTACTTTCATTTTCCATTTGATGTTTGTTATTATCTATCTAGGGAGTGATTATACACATAGTTCTTGTATAGGTTATTATGTTGGAGGCTGGTGCTTTGTTTTGAAATATGTCAGCAACCTGTTTAATTTTGGGCTCAATTAATATAAACTTTAGATTTTAAAAAAGTCTGTGGAATCTTCAGACTGCCCAGGAAGGTGTCCACAAGCCCCTTGGTTCGATGGAACTGTGTGGCAAGCTGTTGCGTGCACTGGTTACAACCGTGCATAGGACTAGCCACCCTCTCCCCACTCGGCACTGAAAGGAGTTGCATTGGGACTGCAGCAGCAAGGGAGACCTTAATTCATGACTGTCCGGGCCATTTGCTGCTGAAACCAATCCCCTTCCCCACATCATATCCGGACCAGCTGTTCTTTGCCCCCTAAAACAGGTCCCTCAGACCGTTTGGCCTTTGGTGTCCAGAGTAAGGGATAGATTCTGCCCTTGTATATGTTTTAATAAATGGTCCCCTTTTTCTGTCCTTGCCATCCAGGACAGAGTTCCTATTTCACCCTTGCCAGGTAAGGGGCAGCGATGTCCTTGGGTTTAAACAGCTTGCTGGAGAAACCCTTGGAGGGAGCAGATGGCGTTTGCCTGGCCTGAAACGCTGGGTCAAGCAGAAATGCTGTGAATCACGGTGACAAACAGCAGTCACCCCTGCTGGTTCTTTGGCAAACATCTCCCTATCCGGCACATCCATTATTAGAATGCCATAAAGAGAAATATTAGCTCAAGGAGGTGGTACTCAGCAACCTTCAGGAGCAGATGGAGTGCATCAAACCAATGGGCCATATTGGCACTTGGCAGCCTCTGTTATGCCACATTATTATCATGGGACTGGAGCCAATGGACAGACTGGTTCTGGCAGAGAGACGAAACTCTTCTTAAAAACTCCTTGGCTTACTTTATTTTAAACATTGATACATAGTCTGCTCCCATGAGTGGTTCAAGGTAGCTGACAATATTAATACACAACTGCAAAATTCCATGCAATATTATGTGTCCACTGTGTGTCCACCAAAGGAAATCCCACTTTGTTCAGGGCTGGGATCGAAGCTTTCAATGTGTGATATTTCTCTGGATTAAGACGTGCTCAAATTCAAGACAGGAGAAATATGAAAGAACAAACACAACAGAAATGAAATTGGGCAAAAGGATGATAACTTATTGCTGGACAAAGCAGAGGATTGTGGGATGTTTCCAAGAATGAAACAAATGTTGACTCAAACTTTATTTAGACCTGGTGGGAGAATGTGTATGATTAGAAATGTGCACAAAATTGAGTTCTGAAGGTTCTGAAGAGTGGCCATATAAATTTGCTAAACAAACAAACAAACAAGAAATATACCAGTTGGAAAGTTGGAAAAGATGTTCCTAGAGAATGAGGTTTTTGTTGTGCAAATGTCCTGACTCATGCACAGATTTGACAAGGACTCCAGCAGTCATTGTGGTCTGCTGGTAATTCTCCCCAAATTTCCCCGTGTGCACTTTCTCTTACCACAGAGCAATTTTAATTTTTTAGCCTGTCTGTCTGGAAGCATAGAAATGCAAAAGGTTGTATTACAATTCTTAGTTTTAGAAACTGTCAGACAATCCAAACAGACTTATGAGAGACAATCTAGAAAGACAAAGCAACCAACAATGGTTTAGCTTCTCAATGTGAGTGATGCATCATGTGAAATTGCATCTTAGCTGAATAGCTTTGGGGTGATTTTATTTCCTATCATGGTTAAGGGAGTTTGAAGCCGTCCTTTCCTGTGGCAATCACAATAGAAACCTCTCCTCTCTAAAGGAATAATAACAGTTTTGGATATGCTCTAAAACTGGAATTCTGGGTGTGCTTATTAGGAAATACAGTATTTGGGACACAATGGAGTTGTTGATCTGCATAACTATTTGTGGTGTAAGATCCTTGTCCATTCTTGCATCCGACCACCACAACCCATAAAAGATGAACAGGCAGAATGACAATGGCTAGAAATCAGGCATGGCAGGTAAAGGGTCCTAGATTCAGTTCTTGGTTTGTGATTGCGATGGCCAACCAAAGCTTCACCCATTTATGTACAACTGCACCATCACATTGGCCATCTTGACTTTTTTGGCCATACCTGGTGGACAACCCTGAAGCAGAGGGATGCAAAAACTTTAACTATTGGCCTTAGGGAGCTTTCTGTTCAAGGGAAGCTTTGAACGTAAATAGGAAAGCTAAATTTCACTCCGCAGGGATGGAAGTCATACTACAGGTAGAGCATCCTCTGTCATATTGCACTGTTGCCAGAATATAAAAGCTAGCTGCAAAATTAATGCATTTTTAAGTGTGGTATGTTGGAACATGCCATTTGCAGTGGAAAGTCTTTTCTGTGCATGATTCTTTTACACCTTATCCTATACAGGTAGTCCCTGGGTTAAGAACGCCCAGTTTACAGATGACCCATAGTTAAGAATGGAGCATATTGTAGCAAAATTTGAGTTACATACACAATGGTTCAAGTTGATTACACAATGTTACTTATACGGTATTATACAATAATACTGTTCCGGCTTACATACCAATTTGACTTAAGGAATGGAACTTGTTCTTAAACTCGGGACTACCTGTATATATATGTGTGATAAGAGGAACAAGAATGATTCATGTGCTAGGAGGTACTTGCTAGGAGATTGATGTCAGCCTAGCAAGGTAGTCCAGACAGGATGCATGACCAGATGCACTAATTCTACTTTATCATAAGGCTACATTAACAGAAGTTTGCAAGTCTGACAGTACAATTCTCCCCCGTTGCTTTTTCAGCCCAAGAAACACAGGAGGGTCCCTTCTGAGAGGCTTGCCATGCCCCCATTCCTGCTGCGGGCTCAGCTACCTCTTACCCAACCGTTCCCCTGGTTGTAGCTCTTCTCCCTGTCTCCCAAGGACATTTCCACATACCACTACACTGTTTGACCCACTTATCTAGGGTATGGATTGAAACTGTCTACATACAAAGTGTTTGCTCTACTTCTGTGCTATGTTTGTCTCATTGGTGCTGTGGGCTAATGTAGGGCATTAGAGTTTTTTTTTAAAAAAAAAACCCAAGTCAAAACAAAGAAGGCATAAACTGTTTCTCTGAAAGACCAGCATGTCTCAGCGTGAACAGCACCTGAAAGAAACATTTACATAAACTGCATGACTACTTGTTTCATAATCTCCCAGTGGAACTCTTTTTGATAGTGTGGGTTTCTTTTAATCTAATCCAAGTTTTTTCTGCCCTGATTTATAAGCTGTTAACATAAATGGCTGAAGTTCTCGAAGAAGTCTCATGTATGCACTGTTCTCATGTATTCAATAGGAAGGATCAAGGAAATATTTGTGACCAAAAATGGAAGGCTGTTGTCTCAGCAGTGGATGGCTAAAAAGCCCAGAAGGGCTGCAGCCTTTGTTGAAATAGTCTCCAAGCACCTTTCCTGTGTCCAAACCCATGCACGACAACGGAGCCAGGAGGGAAGTCTGCTCTGCAGAGCACAGCCCATGAAAGCTTTGCTGCTGTCAAAAGAAGACTGGGAAGAAAGAAAATGCCCCAGTCCCCTGCCATATCTGCCTTTTTCCCATCGGTTCACCTTCTCCTAAGGTGTAGGAAATGCAGACCTTACCTTCTTTATTTGAACAACAATATAGTGAAACCAAGCTAATAGAATAGTGGAACCTTCTCCAGTTTTGTAAGATTTGCTTGGAAATTCAATTCAATGACTTCAAATTCCTCCAATTTCAAAGATTTTTCTTTAGCTCGTTCATTCTCCCACTGCCATTTCTGTCTGATCAGCCATCTAAAGAAGATACATTTTCTTTCTGGAGAACTTCTTACAGACACCCAAAGTGATTCACATCACAGGTAGAGAACTTGGTGTACTCTAGTTGTATTCCAGATCCTTTGGACTTCAACTCCCATCAGTCCCTGCCAGCATGGCCTAAGACAAAGGATTGTGGGAGTTGTAGTACAAATCATCTGCCAGTTGCCAATCTCCTGGGGTCTTCAAATTCAGAAAAGGCATGGGGGTTCAGCATCCTTGGGGCTGTATCACTTTTTATATTACCATATCATCCCCACTTTCTTTCCAAATCATAGTAATTAGCAGATTTGAGAAAGTGATATATTTTTATTGGAAAACAACATAATGGAGCATAAACACTCTTCTTTGACAGTATTGCTTCTCCAAATCAATTTAACTCCCAGGGGCATATAAAAAAATAAGCAAATGGAAACCACGTTGAGCTATTCAAGGAAAGACAGGATCTAAATCTAACCAATAAAATGAATGTATAAAATGCAATCACTGTCTTGCCATGTCTTGACCAGTAGGACACAGATTCAAAATCCATTCCCTTGTTTCCAAGTCCAGATTCCTCCTTCAAACCTGGGCTTTTTCTCCCCTATACTTGATCTACAAAGAAGCAAACAAACAAACCAGAGTTAATAAAGACATTGTTTATTTATATTACTGTGGAAATCCAAGATGTAAAACAGCAAAATGTGGAACTTCCTCATGGGAGTTGCCCAAACCAATAATATAACTCTGGTATATTATTATAGAACCGGTTCTCACATGCATGTTTTAAAGATAATATCCAAAATAAATGCTACGGTACAGCTTCAAGCTAAAGTTAGCTGTTTGGTATAGCACATCAGTCAGTGATTTTCCCTGTTAATATATAAAAAGAATACAGCTACATGAACGTAAGGCAGCTTTAGCAGCCTAAAAGCCTTCTCATTTTCAGGAGATGGACTGGATCCTTGGCAGGTCAGGTCAGTCGGGTCAAATCCCGGCATAAACCAGATGCTGGGACCGAGTGCTATTAATACTCCAATGTATTGTTAGGCTATGAGTTTGCATTTGCACGTGTTTGTGTCTGTTAGACACAAACATTAGACCCGCTCCAAATCTTTGCACTCAAGAGACTTAAAATTGGGATTTGTCATTGAAAGCCTACTTAAAACAAAATTTCCATCAATTCTGGTTCATCTGTAAGGGCTAGGTATATGTTTGCATTTCTGATGGTTACTTTTAACAGTTTAAATAGAATTTAATGGATAATTTTTATAAGGCAAAAGTCTAACGATTCAGATAATCTTCTAAGACTGCTAAAATGTTCTTGTTGTGATAGAAATGGGTTGTTGATATGAAACTGGGATTTCTTTTACCAACTCTCTGGTCATGAGGAGGAGCAGAAGTGTCTTGGGGTGTGTGTGTGTAGGTGTGCAAAAAAATCAAGAAGATGGCAGGTACCATGCAAAGTGCTGTCCCTTTTTACATTTGTTATTTGACATACATCCCCCACAGATATCCCAGAGGAATTGACCATTGTTAATAATTATTAATACAGGCTACTAAAGCTGCTTATATTCTGAATTCACACAGCAAAGTCCTCAAAAATAAAGAGTAATATCTCATAACATGAAATGTGCTGGTGTTATGGACTTTTGAGGGGAACATCAAGGAGAATCCAGGGCACATTATTGCTCAACAGCAAATGCATTTGGCTTATGTGCCCATTGTATTGTCACTATGAGTCCCAAGTTTTTTTTTTTCCCTAAAAACACACACATTTATACTATAGGTGTACCCTTATCAATTGCTCTGCCTGTTTACATGAAGTCAAGTACCTGGAAGCTTTGCCTTTAATTTCTTCAGTCATTCTCAGTTCTTAAAATACTTAGGTATCTCTCTATGTATTGGAAACACTATAATTAGAGGTGTTTGGGTTGAATTGCAGAATCTTTAAGACAAATGTTCCCATTTCCTCAAGGTCAAAGAAGTCCATTTTTTTTTTGTCTTTTTCTTTTTTAAATCCATACTTGGTTTCATCCATTACTGAAAAGCCAGTATTTGTTGTAAAAGAAGAGGGAGGCAAAAGGAGGCATCCAGATTTTGTCGTGCACTTCAAGGCCATCTATATCTGGATATATGTCTTTTGCTGTTTATTTCTTCTATTGTTCTGGCACATTATAAGCAATTCACAGTCATTGGTTTGTAATAAATTTTCACTAGAAAATCTCTTCAAAGTACTCAAGATTCAGAGCCTTATCCTGAAGAGAAAATGTGGAAGAAAATGACAAAAGTTTATTTTACGGATGCCACTTCACAATCCATGGGGACAATTTGGATGAAAACAGTGCATCTGAAGACACAAGAATAAACATTAAGAAACAGTAGGTCTTCTGAATGTGAGACAGCTGCAAAGACATTTTGGTGCCAACAGTATGACAAGAGGTGGTAAGAGAAGTCAAGCATCAACAACTCTTACCTAACAATACCACCAACATTTACTATTATTCAAACAATCCACATAAAGTTCACATTTTGGACAACAGAAGAGTGTCAAGAGTACAGACTTCATCAACAGGACAAATCCCATACATGGCAATTCAGTTATCAAACATTTATCCAGGGTGGAACTGAATAAAAAGGGACAGTTTGGGAAAAGAGCAAAATGTAAAGCTAAGAAGATGTTGAATTAAGCATTCAGTGACTGACTAAATTTGCCAATCGAGACCCCACAAATATTTGAAGACTATATATGCTAACAGAGGCTAAACTATCATAGAGATGTATTGCTTTATTGTGGAAGGAAAACAGGAGACCCTAGGAAGTTGGTGAAGATTGTACATGTCTGCAACTTTCTTCAGATTGCTAAAGCAGGCTAGGAAGAGATCATGTATAGCAATCATATACAAGGTACTTTAAGGATTCCCAAATGCAATGGCATCCATGCCTTTTCTTTTCTTTTTAAAGAAGCTGTTCTTTCTCAGATATCTTCAGATATCATGAAGAAACTGGTCATGACTATAGCTTCACAGAAAAATGTTTACAAGTTAAAAAAATAGAATTTGGGGAAGAAAATTTGGGACAGGATGGAATAGAAACTGGCAGTGTAATACTTAGGAATAGGAGAGTCCCTGTGGTCATTTTGCCCAAGTCCCCACTAACTTGACATGCTGAAATTCTAATAAAACAGTCAGGATCTAACCTTATAATTGCGAATGATTCCTTTTCTGGATACAAAATGCACCATTTATATCTATGACATAACAGAAGGATTGCTATTAAACTGGATCAGGATCAACAAGAAAAAAACAACAACAGTAGGAATAGGAATCCTACCCCTATCTTGTTTCTCAGTTTAGGGGCCAATCCCATTGATTTCAATAACATTTATTGCTGTTGCATACTCTTCAAATTACAATACACAAGCCAGATTTTAGCTCCTTAATGTAAAATTTCCCTCTGCTGCTTTCAAGAAGAACCCTTCCAGATAACTGCTTTTTTACAAATGACTCCTAAAAATCTGGTTCACCTGAAGAATAACACTGATTTACACGGAGGTTGCTAAAATGGCTCGATTTTTTAAAAATCTCTTTAATTATTAAGCACACAAAAGCAGTCAAATTTAATAGAATAAATGAACAAAAGTGACAGCATTATAGCTATAAGAACCTCAGCTCTGTTGGTAACATGGAGAGGCTTATCTAACTTAGTATTCTGTTTCCATCCTGGCCTCCTGTGAAGACGTGGGTGTAATAGCATCCTCTGACCTGTCTTTTCCAAAAACTGGGGAATTGCCTTCAGTGCTGGAGGGAATATACAGCTGTTATGAGGAGCAGCCAATGATCATGTACTTTTCCATAATATATTACCAACCATAATTTCCATGTTATACTGCATAATTTTATCACCATATAGAACTGTTGTGTTAATGAATCATATCAGCTCAAGATCATAGGAAGCTATTTTACACTACATTTGAGTGTGTGTTTATCTAGACTAGAGTTTCTCAGCCTTATCAACTTTAAGATGTGTGGATTTCAACTTCCAAAATTCTTCAGCCAGCCATGCTGGTTGGAGAATTCTGAGAACTGAAGTCCACACATCTTAATGTTGCTGAGGTTGAGAAACCCTGATCTAGACCAACATTGTCTGCTCTAACTCAAACTGGATCATCAAGGTATCAGCCTTGGAATTTCCCCTATTCTGTATCTAGTATTTCAGCTGATATGGCAGGGATTGAACCCTGGGATTTCTATTAACCACTGAACTTTCTCATATTTGCATAGAGGACCAGATAAAGATACAGTGTAATACATGGACCTCCATTTCCTATTGGTGGTTTGAAGCCCATTTAAGGGAATAGGACCTGACTAAGTTTAACTTTGATCCTTTTGTGAATAAGCAACCGTGTTTTGTGTATATTATAATAAACTGTTTTCTAATATGATGACCTCCAAATGTATAATTTCAAGCCAGCATGAGAATCTTGTGCACATCTATTCAAAAATAAGCCCTATCAAGCTCAACAGGACTGAAACTCAATAAAGTGGGGAGATACTCATCTTTTTTTCCAGGCATTTACGTACCCATTCCCTTTAACTTCTATTTTTTTTTTTTTTTGGCTTTGTCCATATACTTAAGTTATAGATTGCCAGGAGTCACAATGGCTAAAGTCAAAAATTAGATCACACAAATCTTCCCAAAAGGTATCTGTGCAAAATACAATGATAAAAGCTCAGTTCTTTGATTAAAAAATGCAACAGAGCTGTTTTTGTTTGGGTTTATAGTACATCGTTCAAGGAAAGGTTGAAGAACTGGAATGCCTTTCAAGAAATTTCCTGCCATAGCTATTGTGTGTGTTGCCCTGCCAGAAGAGTTTATCATGCTGCAAGACAAACAATAAAGCAAGGCTTGATAAGATGTACATTCCAAAAGCTCTAATGATGATGGTTGAAAGCCCATACACATGATGGTCACAAATGATCACATTTAAGCATATTTTTTTCCATAACAGGGAGGAAGATAATGGAAAACATGTTTTTACATTCATGTTATGGTATAGCTCAGTCCAAAGAAATAATTTTTAGTATTTGATTTCAGCAGAAATGGGTAACATGCATGCTTAATTCCCTACTGAAATCAATGGAATATGGAATTGGTTAAAATTGGGAGAATGGGTGATTACTATTTGTTTCTTTTCTTTCCATTCATTTCTTTCCAAAAAAGGTCTGATTAGAAGCATAGTTTTTCATCACTATTAGGCAGTGGAGCAAACCACCAAAGTCATAAAAATCCCTGAGATTTATGTTGCCTTAAAGTCACTGCCTTTTCAGGGATTCAACTCATTTAAATTTAATGGCCTAGATTACACATCCAATGAAGCTATAATGTTGCTTGTATTTGCCCCAACCTGCTGTTGACCATGTCTTGTCCAATAAATTGTGGTTAAAAAATGAACTTTGTAGTTTATTTACAGAGCCATTTCCTTTAACTTCTATTTTTAGCTCTGTTAGCTTTGTTAGCTTTAATCAATATGTAGAGAAACTTCCAAAACTTTGTTCTATGTTTTACTAAATATATTCCAAGTGGATCTTATTATCATACCATTATATCTGTATTTTTTTAGAGATAATTTTCTGTGCAGGTGATATTGGATATTCAAGCTGTTTTGGTTAATGGACCTCTGAGCAAAGATACATAATTGGGGAGGAGGGAATGGAATTGGAGGATTAATGAAATTATACCAGAGCTTCCTATTATAAGCAACATAGGGTTTCTACCAAATTGGAAATAATTTTGGCTGGGATCTTCTTCTCTTACTCTTACAGTGCAATAACATTTATAATACAATAATATTTGACATTACAATGTTATGCCTTCCTTCCTGACATGATGGCATTTCTGTATTTTTACAAGCCATGGAACTGTAGTGGGGATGATGTCACAATGATGTCATAATGAAAAGGAAAGGAAAACATTCCAACACAGAAATTACACTTTTGGCAGCAGTCATCTATTTCTCTCAGCTTGTAGTTTCGCCCTGAAAATTTTATCGGACAGACTTTTGACTGGAAATTATTGATTTTGTACCTGAAATCTTATCTACTTTGCTTAAGTAGACTCTGCTACAGAGTCTCAGTTTGCAACTTCTGATCTTGGAAAAAACAAACACCACCACCACTGAACAGTATTATTAGAATTACCATGATTAAAAATTCTGCTTTTCTAAAATGGTGAGGTAACGTCTGGACAATGATATGGACACTGTGATCAAAATCTCCCCTGTATTTTTCTTTTTCAGCTTAACCTCCAGAGCTCTGTTACACAACTATAGCTATTGAACCCTTTTGTGGGGTACAACTACTAGTTTGTAGAAGCTAGGCTGTAAGACTGCAAACATTTTCAGAACTGGGATAAAACCTGTTTATATGAGTACATCCTACTATGTGCAACTGAGACCCTTTCCACATCTTATCTTGATGAACATGCATCCCCCTGCTACCCCTGGTAATTCTGGGAACTGAAACTGGCAATGTGAATGATAATATCACCTCTCTATTTGATGGACTCTCTAGTTTATCCAGTTTAAAGATTTAAAAAAAACACAAGAAGGAAGAACACAGGATAGGTTGAAGTTACCCATCAGCAGTTAAAATCCAGCCAGTAAATGGAGCATACTCCAAAGTCACACATGATCACAACCTTTCTCTATTCTGCTGAATTGTATTATATTTCTCTTTCAGTTATAGCAGCTGTTTTTACATTAGCATCTGTATTTATAAATTGGCCTGTGCATCACATTTTTGGTGACACGCATAAGTGACCATCTTAGAACTGAAGCTAGAAACAGCTGTTTGCCCACAAATACCTCTAGGAACATCTACAGAGAAATACTATGCTGAAATATATATATATATATAGCCAACTGCAGTACTCAGCTTAGCAGTAACAATCAACACAAGGGTCCAGGCACAGCTTCAAGCATGACAAATAGTCAGGGACTGGTGCTTTTGTACCAAGGAAAATACAAACAGGAGGGAGAGAGCAACCCTTATCTCCTTTCTCAAACAAGATAAAAGCCCTTGTTCTAGAACAGCTTTCTCCAAACCCTGAACACTCAAAATGTTGGAATCTCAACACCCAGGATTTCTAATCCAGTGCACCTGGAGGGCACAAAATATTTGGAAAGGCTAGAATATGCAGCAATGTCATAACTCTGCATGAGAAATTAAACCAGTGACCAGTAAGTTCCTGGTTCACTGTACAATGATTTGAAAATTTTTCTGTAAATGCAATTGTTTTCCCCTCAGACAAAACAAGCAGTGGCAGGAAACAGACAGACAATATCTTTGCAGCAGGCAAATCTTCACCTTCTTAATAGGCTGGAAGTATGCGCATGAAGAAACTGTAAAAGATTCTACCGATTCTTAATTTCCCCAATCCACTCTAAATTTCCATCCACTTCATTTTCTTTAATATTATATGAAGTGTGTGTGTGTGTGTGTGTGTGTGTGTGTGTTCATCCATTCTCTGAGAAAGAAATCATTAGAGAATACAAGGCACAAAAGAAAAAAGAAAAATCAACATGTGAATGAATACACACAAGTCCCAAATTCTTAGAGAAAACGTGTCTCTGAACCATGTGCGTAGTTAGAGACTTATGTTCCTTTCATTTGAGACTAAGCACCAATGGCCTACAGAAAAACTCGACTGGAAGGGTTTGGGCACTAAGTCCTGTATGTTATGTATAGATGAGTCTCAACTTTATTTATGTAGTTAAGAAAACACCACTCCTTTTATCTACTTGAACACAGCCCAACTTTCTCTCTTTCCCCCCTTAGCTTGGGAATGTTTTGCTACATTATCTCATGAAAAAAATAAAATAAAATAAAACAGTCTATTTAAGATCTAGTCACATAGCTTTAGATTTTAAAAAATAGTCCCAAGCCATCCCTCTCTTCCTGTCTAAAGCTACTTGGCTTCTTCAGTTACTTATGTAAACTGACAGTTCTGAATTGTGCTTCACTAAGTGCTCATATTTTATTTGGCAACTGACTGGGGGCTTCTACATGAACATGAGTGTTCCATGTGCCATTTGCAGAAATTAGATGGATGAAGATGTGTTAACTAGTGGGAATAAAATATACTGTCATAATTTCCTCTCCCCTGAACCCTGCATCACTGTATTAGAATCTCAGATTTCTATAGAGTTCCTTGTACCAGTACACAAACGCTCACAAATGGATGCGTTGGTTTCCCACCCTCATTCCTGATTTTTTTTCAGTCCAACACAGAAGAAGCAGCAGGGCGAACACAGCAATTTGGGCGTCGAAAATTCTGCAGCATGGAATGAAAAACATTGTGATGCCTCCCTTTCAGTTTTTTATTTGAAGATGAATCTGAAGAAATTGATTTACGGGCCTGGGAGCTTTGAGCCTTAATCAGTTTTTCATGCTCTCTGATCTGCCTCTGCAAGTGGTTCTGGATAGCAATTCCCAATGATTCTGGATCTAGGGATGCTCCATAAACCTCCCAGGTCATGCCCTGTTCATCCCATACAACATCCCTGACACGCTTGGATTGCTTCAGATGTACTTTAGCCTCAGCAGTGACAGCCTTGGATCTTTTCTTCTTTTCACCAAGGCTTGGTGTGGGACTTGAAGAAGTAGGAGCAATTGGTACATCAAGCACTGGACCCTTCTGGATTTCATCATTTTTGATTCCTACAGCAGGGGCAAAACATCTACTCATCTCAGATGCTGGATTCTGATTGACCAAAGTTTCTGCCTTGGTATCCCCAGCATCCATATCCTGCTTGCTTTCTGCTACAACTGCAGCACTCGTTGTTTGGGAGCCAACAGTAGACCCTGTCTTATTCATCTTCTGTTCTTCAGGTTTGAGATGGACCTTTCCTTCTCTCTTTGGATTTACATCAATGGAGAAACTAGGCAAATCCATCTCAAAGTTACCAACAGTCTTGATTTGCAGCTGTTCCTCCTGATGGGTCCCCTCAGTATCCACAGTGTTGACTACAGCCTTGGCTTGTTCAGATGTTCTGTGACACAAGGGAGAATGATTTCCTTGGAGTGTAAAGGGCTCAGAGTGCTGACATTTGCTGTCACTTGCTGGGACTGAAAAACATGGAGGTAGTTTAGTATCAAGGTTTGTAGGCTGCTGGGTAGACACAGGCTGATTACTAGGACTGACACTAATTTGGTAAATGGGTCTTGTTTTCTGCAAAACTGAACTGTCTGACAGTTGCTGTGCAACATCACTACTATTTTTAGCCATGTCTGTCATTTCCACTTCTATCCTCTTGGCCAACATTTCTTGAGAATTATCAGATGCCAGTGGACACATCCCTTCTGCCTTATCTGATGAAACTGAGCAGATTGGATCATGTGTGTTTGTGAGGTTCCCCTGAAGTTTGACAGTAGGATTTCCCAGCGATGTATCTACTATAGCTGGTATTTGAATATGGACCTCATGCGTGACACCAATAGATGGAGGTGTTTGGACAGGTGCTGCAAAGTCATCAATTATTTCAGGTTGCTCTTTCCCTCTAGCTCCCATGTAAATAATGTGCAACTGATCTTGGTCCTGCTTTGCCTCAGAAAACATGTTCTCTCTTAAGAATGCAGTCAAGATACTTGGACTGGTAGAAGCTGACTTGCTTTCCACACTAGCTACAGCCTGAACCTCAGCATCTTGATGAGTTCTGCTTATTGCCTCCACATCTACAGTTCTGTCCTCAGGCTTTACTGTCATTGTACCTGTGTCTTTGAATTTGGAGAGCTCTGGTACTACCTTTGCTGTAGGCTCATAACTACATGAAGGCTCTGTAGTGCTCTCAGGGTTCAATTCGGGTACAGTCTGTGGCTCAGTCTTAGGACAGATATTTGCATTCTTTGTACCCAATTCTGTTTCCACACAAACAGGGGCTTTCAGACTGAGACTCAACTCATCTGTTGAAACCAAGACTTGATTGTTTTCAGAGACAATAATTTCATCCACATTTTCCTTCCCTGCAGGAGCTGCTTGCTGGATATCAGAATAAATAGGAGGAGAAGGAAGAATAGAGTAATCCTTGGATTTGCTCTCCACAACATCACAATCTCCTCCAGAGAGCGTGGTTGTCCTTTCACTTACATTATAAGATTGTCCACTACCATTTTGAATATTTTTGTTAGCCTCCTGGATAGGAGACACTTTAACTGCGCTATGCATTGAAGTGTGGTCTTCAAGTGTTGGGGCTTGGACTTTGGCTCTGAAGCCTTCCTGCTTAGCATAACTTACTGGTTCTGGAGCTGCTATGCTGCCTTCTTTGGAAGAGCTGAAGGACCCAGGAGAAAACATGTCTGGACGCTTGGTGTCATATTCACAATGCCACTCACTCTTTGGAACACTGGCTTCTCTGCCAGAGTTCACTTCAAGCAAGCATTCTTCAGAAGGCTGGTCCTTGGCAGTAAAAGCATATCCATTACTGTTGCTTTCTATGCTTGCCTGCTTGCACTGGTGTTTAGGAGATTCTTCAGCTGTGACCAATGAAAGCTTAGTAGATCTCAGTGGATCTTGTACGGTCCCCATGGAAATGTAACACGGTACAAATTCCAGGCAAATTCACGCAGTGTCAGTTACAAATTCTTTCTAAAATATGCTCAGACTGAAAGAATACAGACAACTCTCTTTGCATCAATCTGTTAAAAGAAAAAGACATAGAAGCACATTAATAATATGTTCAGATAAAGATAATTTAGTGTAAATTTTGAATGAAGACTATGGACTGTATCAGACAAGGAGGTCTGCTGTCTCTTGATAATAACCTAGCTGTAAGGTTAATTTAATGCCAGGGGAATAGAAATATTGTACTTGTAAAACCATCAAACAATGTTTTAGATGGAACTCCCACAGAAAAATGCAATACAAGTTACAGGATTCTGGGCAGATCACAAGATCGTATTAATCTGCCAATATTACAGAAGCGACTCTGATGCAAAGAGGTGCGAATGTATGTCAAGCATACAAGGCCAGAACTTACATACAGACAATAATGATCAGAGACAAGAAATTAACCTTACAGACAGAAAATAAAGAATAATTTTGGCATAATGCTAATTAGACATTAAGCGACATCTGCCTAAGTAACAGTTCTGCGAATCAGGACTCTTTCTCTCTGGTTCACTTTTATTGGTTCTTCGCTTGGGATTTTCTGGGATTTCCAATTTTAAAATATAGTCTGAAGAAGAACAGTCTCGGCTCTCCCTCTCCAGCATGACACACACTCTTAACTCCATAAACAAAGACTTTTGCTACGTAGCAGAAAAGGAGCGTTGTTTGGGTAGTTGACCTGGGTATGTCCCTGTGAATTATGTGGATTCCAACCCACGTGAGTGAATGTGGATTCAGAATATTTACAGTTTGCCTGTTGCTGATATTCTGGAATGTGGTGAGAGCACAACAGTGTCCTACAAGCTTCGCAAAAGGAAATGGAAATTAGGCTGTGTTTATATGTAGATTCATAGTTGCATCATAGTGACTTGAGCATATAAAACCAGCATTATTATTCAGAACATATTGCTGACTCTGCTTGATGAGCAACTCTTGAGAAATGGAAGTCACATGGGCCCTTTGCTGATCACTATTACTAAACATATGAAGGTGGACCGAATTAGACTCACCCATCTTGCTTCCTCTGTGGGTGTGTATGTGTGTGCACGCGTGTGTGCCTTTGAATCATTGTTGACTCCTGGTGACTGCCTGGACAAATCCCTGCAGTTTTCTTGGCAAGATTCCCAAAAGGGTTTGCCATTGCCTCATTCCTTGGGCTAAGAGAGAAGGACTGGCCCAAAGCACCGAGCTGGCTTCGTGCCTAAGGTAGGACTAGAACTCATGGTCTCCTGGTTTGTAGCTCAGTGCCTTACCCACCACACCAAACTGGTTCTCATCTTGCCTGGTGACTAGTTGTGTATTTCAAACCTTTTCATAAGCTGATAAATGGAGGCATTCTGAACCATGCTAAATGGCTAATTCATCAGCAGTTAATTAACATATTCTAAAACATAGGCTTTTAAAGCCAAAAGATTTCAGCTATATAGAAGGAACAAATTAATTCAAGAGCATTTTGAAGAACTGACACCCAAATTTGTACACCTTCTTTTTCTGTTCTTCCATTTTCCTTTTACACTTTGTCCATTCAGTTGTGCAACAGGATGCTTTGTTTATAGTGTGATGTATTTTATGTTTATAGTGTGAAGTACTAATAATGATTATTAATAATAATAAAAATTGGGGAAAGGGGAGCAGCCTAGTTGGCAAAACTGCAAAGTCAGTCTCAATGAAAAAAAGGTATCAAAAGCAAAACACAAAATAAAATTAAGCAAAAATCCAGAATTGCAAGATGAAGCAAGATTTACAGCCTAAGATTTATAATATCTTTTTGAGGGGATGAGATGAGAGGGATTGCCTCTGGAACAGCTGAATTAAAACATGCATTTTATGACTAACAGGTGTGCCTGCAGGGTATAGTAAAAAGTCAAGATGGCAGCCACGATGATGTCATTGAAGCTCTGCCTGTGTTTATGTGTATTTATTTTTAAATGACTTTCATCACACCATTGTGGTTGCGGACATGCCTGATAACTAAGATTTTCTAGCTTCATAAAAAGCAAACCATTCTCATAGAACCTCTATGTCCTGCCCACCTTATTCAAAACAGCAATTAGTCAATTAGAGCAAAAAAAAAACAATTAGACATTCTTAAAACGTTCTTGATGGAAGCATTACCTGAAGTCTTGGGCAATTTTTATGTTTCTTCCAATGACTAGACATCAATCCCCTTAGGGCTGAAAAAAGGAATTACTGTAATTATTTACTTCCTAAGACTCAGCTGGTCTTAAATATATAAACAGCTGGAGCTTGAAGACCACACGCAGTGTTATTAAAACTGGTATATAGAACCATTTCACTCTGAAACAAAACATTAAATTCCCTCAAAGTCCTCATTTATCTATTTGATAACTGTCAAGGAAGTAAAGCAGAATATTCTATGGGGTTGGCAGTCAGATCCAAAGCAGGCCAATCAACAGTGTTCTACAGTCTGCAGTCCTTCACTCCCTCATTACATATATGCAGCTGTCAGCTTAGCAGTTGCCAGTGAAAGCTGCACGCCAAGCATTCTAGGAACAGGAGATATTAGAGGAATGTCTAAAACTCCATAGTTTGGCCAAAATAAAAAGAGGTTCCTTTTAAGCACCGAAACTTAAAAGCATAATACGAGTATGATAAAGGCATATGCAATGGGTGCTAGCATGTCAAGAAGGTTCCTGTCTTAGTAACGGAAATGTTTGCATTATATATTTAATTTTTTTTTTTATCCTGCCTTTTTTATTTTCATAAATAACCCA